ATGAAAACAAAAAGAAGATGCACATTCTCTGTGATATGGACCTGCATGAATAAACTTTCTGAATCCTTTATCATCTGCAACTGAAAATAGTTGTGGATGATTACTATACCTTTCTAATGTGACCTTGTTGGCCCTGCTCTCTCTCTCTCTCCCTCCCGCTCTGTTCCTGTGCTACTGAGTGTAACTACCGCCCCTCCCCCCTCTGCTCAGCGCGAGCACATGGCTGGCATGCGGAGTGAAGCGGAAAAAAGTGCGAGACAGAGAGAGAGACAGAGAGAGAGGATGAGAGAAAGAAAAAAAAAACCCATGGCTCGCGTCGTTCACGTCAAAGATCCGGCTCTAAGAGCCATTTCGACCGACCCATCACTACTACAAGGTCATTAAGCTAAGATGGGGACTAATTATTTAAGACCTTGTATGTGAGGAGCAGGATTTTGAGTTCTGGATTTAACAGGAAGCCAATGAAGGGAAGCCGATATAGGAGAAATGATTAGCTAAGACAGCTAGGTCAAGAAAGTAAGTCATGGTTTAACTATTTTTCATTTTATCTCTCTCTGTGTCCTAATTTTAAATTTTAGCATAAAAGATTGTTTGTACTGATAATTGTGTGCTGTAGTTCCTCACTGTGGCCACTGGAGGGCAGTGAACACTCGTCGCACTCTACAGTCAGCATGACACAAACATTAAACCTGCTGATGTACCTGTAGTGAGACTCCTATCCATCTTCTTCTACAGAAACAGCACTGCACCTCTTTTAGCCTCCATTTAAATTGCTAAATTCTCATCTTTATTTGTAAGATGTGTGCACATTCACAGCCTAACCACAAACCAAGAGATGTTTTTTAATCAGTGTAAACTCTGTTAACATACTGACTGAAAATAACAGAATGAAATAACAATAGACTGAGTAGTTCTCAAATGACAGAGAAGAACCACATAATGAAGTTACGAGTAATAACAGATGAGGACTGTCACATGATCATAGAAAATGATTATTACAACAGCATAACTTACATAAAAAGTTTTACCAAAAGATGGAGGTTTACCTGCTTCAGTCCTGCGACAATAAGTTGGATGTGTGGTCACGCACAGTGGAGCCTTGAATTGTTGACCTCTGTTCTACACCTTGGTGTGTGTCTTTTAACCCAACCTGAAAACAGCAGGAATGAACTGGTTTAATTGAACCTGTTCAGTTATGTTTAGACCAGTTTAATAACAAAAACAATTCGCTATTCTCACAGATGTAACCATGTGATTGAGCTTAGGGGGCATTGTTAGATGTACTGTTACCCAACAACTTAACTAAGCAGCAGAGTTCCCCTCAGTGATAATTGTAAAACTACAGTAGGTCTGGGCACTAATGACGAGGCAGCAGTTTTAATATTGTTCAAAGCATAAATTTAATTTTAGCTGCAGTTACATAAACATGTTTATGGTTTCAGCAACTAGTTTTTGTATTTTTATCCACATAGAAAGGAGTCTGTTTGGGTCATTTCTGATCAGGAGGCACCTCCTTGGTGAGCTGTTACAGACGTGTCCCACCACGACGCCTCTGTGCAGACCCAGGATGTTTTATACACATACTTGTGATCACACGGCATTTATGCTTGTTCTTGATTAAACTTAAGATGCAAAAGATAATTATCAACAAAAAAGTTTAAAGTTCAGATAAAGATGTTTGAAAGTTAGCTGTCACAGCAGCTGATCTGCAGGCAGCGCTAAAATTCATGACTACACAAATAAAACCACTGTCATGATGTTTCAGTAAAGTTTATTATTCAGATATAAACTGTGTAAAAGATCACATTTGTTGCTGTAGCAATATGATAAAGTGAACAGCTGGATTATGATTTGGATGCAACATTCAGAAGAGCATCTTGTGTAAAACTGCCAAAGGAAACATGAGGAGTTTCCTGGATTCTGCAGATCAGATTATCTGAAAACAATTATGTTAAACATGATACATATAAGTGATGTAAGTTATTCTCTATTCATCTAAATGTAATATGATCGGATGCACTGAAACTGGCTCAATAATCAGCAGACTGTGTAATGATGAAGTAACACCCAAAGCTAAGGTCACATCAAGCAGATGGGGCAGGAAGTCATTCAGCAACCTCACCTGTATAATTATTAAATAATACTTATTATATTACCACATCTATTTAAAATAACTACATTTTCTGTGTCTTATCTTAAAGAATAAAAATAGTGACCAGAGGAAGAAAGTGACTTTAGCTTAATTCATGAGATAAATCAAAATAACTTACACTGAATTTCTGCTGAGGCTGAAAGTGACGAGAGCAGCGCGCTGCAGTCAGTAACAATGTGAGAAGTTGCAGTTTGGCTTTGAGCTTTTGTGGTTAGTCACAGGAAATCCTTGCATCCAACATAACAATGAATCGACCAATCAGCAAGTCTTCATGAGGGCCTCAGTTAGATATGTAAACACAGCTGATTTACAAGAAGTCATGTTTCCAGGCAGAACTCGATGTACTACAGAGTATAGTAAAATAGTTTTTCTATTTTTTTGTGCTTGTCACACTTTAATGTTTCAGATCATCACATAAATGTTAATATTAGACAAAGATAACACAAGCAAACACAAAACTCTGTTTCTAAATGAAGGTGTTTGTTATTAAGAGGAAAAATACAAACCTTCATGACCATGTGTGAAAAAGTGATTAATCCATAAACATAATAACTGGTTGAGCTAACTGAGCAGCAACAACTGCAACCAAGGATTTGCCATCAGTGGTTGTAGGTTTTTAAAGCACCGTGCAGTGTTGTAATTCAACCACATTTGTTTCAAATCAAATCGCTTTTATTGTCACATCACATGTGCAGGCACAGCACAAGTGAGTGAAATTCTTGTGTGCGAGCTTCACAAGCAACAGAGGTGTGCAAAGTACAATACAACAGTGGTTCTCAAACTTTTTTGCAACAAAAATTTGCAGCATGTGCAGCAACAGCCACAGGTGGGAGGCCTTTATGTGTAAACAGGAAACTGCAGTCAGAGCTGCTGTGGATCCCGTGTCACTCTGACACCTCACCATCGGAACATCTCCACACTGCAGCTTCCTCCTTCCTTCTCTTCCTCTTATCCAGAGTCGGGTCGTGGAGGCAGAGCATGAGGAAGACTTCCTGTTTCCTCCTTCATGAAGAGGCATCGCTCTGAGAGTGCTGATCATCATCAGATCAATACTCTGATCATTTATGGACTCTCAGACACTCCAGCTACAGATTTCACCGACATCAAGTAACTAAAGTTACTAAACATCCGTAAAGAATAAATGTTTAGGCTTTCAGTCAGACAAACATTAAGAGTAACCTGTCTCATCTATCAGACACAGAGGTGAGCGATGACATCATCAACAGAAATAAACCTGAATCCAAACAAACTGTTTGTCTCTGAGCCATGTGATGTCAGCACTGACCAGCAGAGGGCGTCAGAGTCACATGATTGAAAACAAAGGCTGTGATGTTTTTTGTCATGCTGTGATTTTCTATGTTTGTCTAAGGAATTAAAAAGCTGAGCTCAAACCGAGCATGTTTAACACAAACCTCTAAAGGAAGGACGTACATCATCACGTGACTCTTCTTCTATCACTTTATTCACACTTACAGACTCCTCATCTGCATCCCTGTTGTCTCTTCTTGCCTCCTGTCTTTTGTTCTCTCCTCGCGCCCTTAATTTTTAATAAATTAGGTTCCTTATTTCTGTTCCCTCTTTATGCCTCATTCTCTCCTTCCTCCTTCCACCATGTCTTCCCCACTCACACATCCTCACTTCTTGTCTCCAGTCTCCTTGTTAAGATAAGATAAGACTTTATTGATCCCACGACAGCTCAGGTACAGATATCAGAAGGAAATACAAAAATACAAATAAGTACAAACAATTTAAAAAAAGTAAGATAATACACTATAAACAATTGTAGCATACACAGTATGTGGTTTTAATCAGATGAGAAGTTAAGGCCACAGGCCTGAAGTTGTGCGTTTTTGGCACCGGAACCACACAGGAAGTCTTCCACCGTTCAGGAACCTTCTCCAGGCTCCGGTTAAAGATGTACAGGGCCACCTGACAGAGCTGGTTGTTCCTTCCTTCTTTACTCTTTTTACCCTTTTCTTCTTTCAGCTCATCTCCTGCCTCCTTGTGCGTTCTTGTCTCAAAGTTTCCTTCACCCTTGACTCCTGCTTCATTACCTCCTCTCTCCTTGTCTCCTCAATAATTTCACTCTTCTTTAATCTCTTCTTTTCTGTCTCCTCCATGTGTCTCCTTGATTCCTGCCTCCATGTTTCCTCCTCCCTTGTCTGTGAGGTTGCATGAAGGTGAAACATGTTCAACACAAACTGATTCTTCACACACATCTGGTGCAAATGTGTGTGTGTTGATGAAGTGTGAAATTCACAGCAGCCTAATTGAATTAGACACACACTCGTTTATCCAGCCTGACGAGATCTTTTCCAACAGATGTGAGCAGATGTGTGCGTGTGTGTGCGTGCGTGTGCGCACACGTGTGTGTGTGTGTGTGTGTGTGTGTGTGAACAGTCATTTCTCCTAATCTATGCCTGCGGGTCAGGTCTGTGTTTCATCAGGACCCGTGTGTTCTGCAGGACCATCGCTCAGGTCCGTCAGGTTTAAGAGGACGGGCTCTGCTTCTCACTTCCTGTCACAGACGTCCTGCAGGTTATGTTAAAGATGCGCACACTGCTCTGTTAGTGTCCTCACTGTGTACAGTGGGTCACATCAAGTTTCGGTCTGTTACAGTAAAATCTGACTCACTTAAATTGTATCAGTATATTTTTGTCTCCCGGAGAACTCACAGGATTAAAAGTAGGATGATTTTTCTAACTGTGCTTGGCAGCAACTGGATGCCTGCAGCCGCTTCCAGCACCACAGCACACAAACATGTATGAATAAGTTATGAAACATGAATCCATTTGGTCTGCGTTCAACAGATCTTTGAACCCTGTGAACATGAAGACTTCTCCTTCTTTGGCTTTTCTAACAAGCTGACGTCTGACTGATTAGACAGCGTCAGCAGGAAAATACTTCCTGTGTCACCTTCAGTGTTTACACATGTTGCGAGCCAGCGTGCTGTTTGTCTCATAATAAGCTAAGTATAAATTATTATTATTATTATTATTATTATTATGACAGAAGTCCTCCCTGAACGGCTGTCCTGCTGTGGACGTTCACTCTCGTCCTTCGTTATTCTTTCATATGTAATGTGAGGGATCAGACCTGAGGTCCTTTTTCATTTGATCCTGATGACATCATCAGTTCAGCAGATCTCCACATGAAACTTTCTGGGCTGAAAAACAGATTTAATCTTATTAGAAACTGAACTCAGATCAGATTTACGGCCATGAGTCACCGTCTGAAGACAAACCAGCAGCAGCTTCATGTGAGCGACACAGAACGTTAGTCCGTTTATGTTTGACCTGGTTCTGATCGTTCACTTTAGAAAACCTGACAGAGTGCATTGTGGGTAAACTTTGAAGCTCGTATTAGCTCGTGGGACAGGTTCACCATGTGACACCAGGAGCATCTCCTACCTGTGAGTCAGTCATGGGTCACAGTACCCTGTGATAATTTAACAGGCGACAAACGTTAAACAAGGTAATGAGATGTGATTTAAATCTGAGGGGTCGAGTTGTTTTACAGGGACCCTGATCGCAGCCGGACCATGAAGCGTCTCCCTGAAACATCTGAATCTGTTTCAGAAGTGAACACACACACACTCAGTCCTCATCTAAAGTCCTTTAGTTCGTTCAACCGTGAAGCACAAACACTTCCTCTCTGCCCCACACACACACACACACACACACACGCACACACAGGTATTCATGTGTGTGCGTTTGATTCAGAGAAAGCAGGAAGTGGTTCGACACACTTCATATATCAGAGAGCGTGTCCATGAAGGATGCTCATTGTGTCTACACCACACACACACAGCTGTTTCACCACTTCAGAGGACTTCACACTCACTTCCAGAAAACTCAAACAAAAATCAAAGCTGACATTTTAAACTCTTATGAGGAC